AATGCTTTAAAAACAGCTAAGGAAGAGAAAATTGTTAGGTTAATATACTTAATAAAATAAAAGAACCTGATATGTCATTTTTACTGGAACAGAAATCACATAATCAATGTTTTTAAATAAGAAAGCAAATAAATTCCCTCTGAAAATATAGCGCCCCTGCCCCTGGTATTGACGGCGTTGAATCAAAAATTATAAAATATGCTTATGTGCATTTGCTTAGACCCCTTGATTAATCTAATATTTAGAACGGGCATAGTACCTAGCCATATAAAGACTAGTGTGGTGACTCCTATCTATAAGGCTAGAGATATAAGTGACATTAACAACTACAGACTCATTATTGTCATAGATAAATTTTCTAAATTTTTGAAAAATGTCTAACAGATAAACTGGTGATTTTTTTGTGTCCTAAAAACATACTTTCAAATCACCAATTTGGATTTACCAGTGGTTTAAGCACCATACATAAGCTTTGTTTTGGTTCGAAATTTGGAACAGTTCTGGGATTGCGCAGAACTGCTTGCGCACAAAAAATAATAGAGGACTGTTCTAATACTATCTGAACCGATTCGGAACAAAAAAAACCAAAACACGCCGCAAATCACAAAATTCTAAAACAGTTCCTCCTTGAGAACAAGAACTGAGAGAACCGTTTCAGAACAATCCCAGAATTGTTCTTGAATAGTTCTAGATAAACCAAAACACAGTCAACACAACAATAACCATATAACATAACATTCATTTAAATTACATTAAAAGAGAAAGAATAGTATCTCTATCAATTATTTATCAACCTAAACAATATAAAGCAAACAATCTATCTACTTGAATATTTGTAAATAATAGTTATTTATGATATAAGTGTTAAAAGTACATTTTTAAGGCACGCATGTGAAAGTTTGCAGAATGAGCGAAGCGAATTCTGCAATTCACATAAGTGCCTTAAAAATACTTTTAACACAAATATCATACAATATTTTTTCTACAAACGGCAATAACAAGCAATAATCAGTGACAAATTGGATTTTTAAATGAATAATAAATTGGAAGCATCTTTCCTACGTAAAATTATTGAATTTGATATTTGTCAAAAAATTCAAACAACCAGCACCTTGTTTTACAGGTAATGAAATGTCTCGTCAGTTTCTTGAAAGTCTGTCGTATGGTCTATCGTGGTCAGTAAGCTTTTTGCTAAAAATGCAACAAAATACACAAGAAAAAGAGGGTTGCATCAATCCCTTGAAAAATATAGAGGAGGCGGCCGATGGAGCTTCCTCAGTTGTTCAAATTTTACCAATAATATTAATGTAAATAATTAAAAATACAAACTTTTTTTGACGTTTGCTTTCAAATTTTGATGTTTCATTTTTAACACTAGTGCCTTAAAGACTTTTAACACTAGTGCAATAAAGTAACATTTTTAATGCTTCGAGGGGGTGTTAAAAATTGCATTTTTAACACGTTTGTAGAAAAACAAATAAATATACAATGAGCCTGAGATAAATAGTATCCATATCATGTCCGGAACTTGTTAAAAGTGTCACGAGGATTGCATATTTAAGGAAAGCAAAACCGAACTTTTTGGGTTTCCGTGTGATGCGTGCAAGGATATCTGGTGTCAAGGATGTGCTAACTTCTCAACAACAGATGTACGTGCATTGATCCAGATTGTGAAGCGCACTCACGTTTTTTTTGTATGAACTCCATCAAACAACTTCCTCTGCTTAAGGTTGAAATGAGGGAATCGATTAAGAAGGTTCCACTGCTGAAGATTGAGTTCAAAAAGCTTCAATCTCAAGTTAATGAAATCAAAGAAAGCTTGAATAAAGCAAAGAACACTGAGGTTACAGTGAAAGAGCGAAACGGTCCTTAAATATAATTGTATTTGGGGTTCCTGAAATAAAAAATCTGAACAAGGAAGAACGGAATATAAAAGAGAGGACGGAGGACGGGACCATATCAATAATTAACACACCAGATGAATCCGTACCTACTGAAAGTATTAAATTGCACCATGCGTTCAATTTATTTTGATAACATTGTAATCCGCTGTAACTTTTTTGTTTTTGAAGATATCAAGGTAAACAAAAAAACAAAATGTAGGGTTAGTAGTCAAGTTTTTCTTCAAGTTACCTATAAATTAAAACACTATCAATTTTCTGACATGAGCCTACATTATATTTTTTCAAACACCCTGTATATTATATATGTGTTTGATAGAATATCTTATTCCGATTACAATGATATGAAACACTTCATATTTTAGTCCACTCGTTTTTGATAAATTGTAATCAGAATAATGCCCGTATTACATCTGTGTATTTTTCCGTGTATTTATTCATGTAGTTCAGGGTGCCAACATTATTTTGTTTTTCATAATGCTGATTTATGTTGCGTTTGAAGTTTTTAGGTTGTCACCCTGAACTACATGAATAAATACACGGAGAAATACACAGATATAATACGAGCATAAGATATTCTATCAAACATATATATAATATACAGGGTGTTCAATTTAAAAAAATATATTGTAGGCTCATTATGTCAGAAAATTGATAGTGTTTTGTTGCATAAGTAACTTGAAAAGAAGCTTGGCTACTAACCCTACATTTTGTTTTTTTTTTGTTTACCTTGATACCTTCAGAAACAAAAAAGTACAGCAAATTCAAATGTTATCAAGATAAATTGAATGCAAGGTACAGATTGGGAGGATATGATGCAAATAAAGTTAGGCCTATAAAGGTTATGTTTGAAACAAAAGACGATGCTTTGAAAATTTTAAAAAACATAAACAAACTAGATGAATCCAAAAAATATACCTCAAGGGCAATCTAACTCTCCTTCGACAGAAGTACTTGAAGGAAGTTGTAGCCAAACTAAAAGCTCGAAAGGAAAGTGGTGAGTCCATCCTTAAAATTAAATACATATAACTCTATTCCAAAAATTATAAAGATCAGGCCAGATCCGAAAAATAATAAGTAATAATCAGGGTAGCAGTTCAGAAATTGAAATCACCTTTTGGTACAGTAACTTGCAATCTATTACCAACAAAATAAATGAATGGTCAATATCAATACAAAAACATAATCCTGCGTGCATCTTAGTAACGGAGGCTTGGCTTAATAAGAACATCGTTGAAGGATGGATGGGACAAAGAAAATCAAACTGGAGGTAGAGTGTGTGTTTTGGTTGAGGATGAGTTAAATGGACACAAAGTATACTCTACAGTAAACAATCAATTTAATACATTTGCCCCAATACAGTCAATGTGGATTGATATAAAGGTCTGTAACATCAAATTTCTGGTCTCTTGTATACATATACAGAATGGATTATTCCAGTGAGGAAAATGATAATATTATGATTAACTCAATTAAATATGCCTATTCATTGGATATGCCCGTTTATATTATGGGGGATTTCAACTATCGGCATATAGATTGGAACAATCTTTATCTATCCAACCCAGACAAACAAAATAAACTCTTTTTGGACAACTACCTTGAAACAAATGCTTACCAAATGGTTGATTTTTCAACACGTTTCCGAAATGACCAGGTTTCTCTACTTGATCTAGTCTTCACCGATGATAAGAAACTGCTATATAAATTGGAACCCAAGCCCTACATAGGGAAGAGCGACCATGTCGTCATCATTGGAAAAAGTCAACTAAAATGTGAGCTGAGTCCAACGAGGACTGTATTGAAACGCAACTTCTTCAGTGCCGACTATGAAAAAATCAATAGTTTTCTGGCTGAGCAATAAGTTCATTCCGTTGATACCATGTAAAACAAACCCACAGAAACCGTGGCTAAACCAGTTCATATTTAAACAGCTAGAAAAGAAACGAGGTCTTTGAGACAAATACAAAAAGTTAGCTACAGACGACAGACTACAAAAAAGATCATGAACAAAACAACTACCTTACAATAATGTAATGAGAAAAAGACTATGAATGCAACATTGCTTCTCAGAGCTCAGATAAAACATTTTTTTAGTATGTGAATAAAACACTATCATCCAAAGTTTCAACAATAATATTAAAGAATGAATCAGATGAACTTTTGACTGACGACTTTGATGTAGCGGAATGCTTTGCAAACCAATTTGAAAAGGTGTTCACCGAAGGAAATCAAAACGAAATGCCACTAATAGTCCCTAGTACCGTAAAATTTTGTAGCTCATGTACAAGCCAAACTTCCTGAGCGGCTTCATAACATCAAGTCGGACAATTTTGTTTATGTTTTCAACCTGGGCGATGGGACATTGTCGCGCTAGTTCTTCGCGAAGTTGTCATTCTGACATCCCTGAGAACGGTCATACATGTACGTGACGTGTAATTTCGCTTCCAATCGACTGTGTTTTATGTTATATTAACGATATCACATTTTGTCGGACAAAAATCTTGTGGCATTGGGGGGGTCCGACGCTCCCAACAGCAACATGTTAAGGGCGTCGGTGTACTATTGTACCATAATAATAATAAACCGTTAAATGTGTTACACGCCTACGGTGTAGAGGCCTAGTGTTGGAGATCTTTAGGAGCTTTCTCTATATAAGGACTCAAGTGGTGAAGATAGGTGAAGTTACACCAGTGAACCATTAACTGTGAAAATAGGTGTTCCTCAAGGCACTGTTCTAGGCCCTATACTATTTATTCCATATACTAACTCCCCTGAAGCCGGAAAACGGGTCAATGCTAATGATAGCGGTGTTTTTTTTTTTTTTGGAAATCATGTTTAAAAAGAAGAAACGATTTCCTACCCAATTGTTATACTCAAAAAATTTCCTATATGTTAATATGTCTTGGACTGAAGTTCTTATAATCTGCCCTTGAAGTTTGTAACACCATTTCTGGACAACCCTCATTATAAATTTTATGATAGTTTCTTTTAAATGTTTTGTTATTGAGTACTTTGGACGATAATAAAGCTTTTTTAAGGTTTGAAAAAAAACGAAAATCTATTTTCTAAACTATGTACTTAGTTCTTCATGCTTACCCATACCCGTTTGAAAATAGACACCTTGCCATCGCCCGAGGTCTGTGTAACGTTACCAACTGTAGGAGTGACAACTGTAACCGTTTCAGCTGGTTGGGTAGGCGAAGTTGGTTGGGTAGGCGAGGTTGTGGTCGTTGCGGTTGTTGTGGTTGTCGCCGTCGTCGGCGGCGAGGTTGTCGCGTTATTGTTTATTGTCGTCTCTTGGGGTTCCACGATTTTCGGCGACGACGAGTTATTATTTACCTAGAAGGAAAAAGTATGATTTCAGAATTATTCGTACTTTGAAAACAATTTAGCCCTCAGTTAAGATTATTTGGAGGTTTGAATTTGTAATGTGCCATATAAAATTTGATAAGCCCATAAGGTTTTAAAGTGTAAAATAATTCAAGTATGTATACATAATTACATACATATGTGGCTCTAAATCCATAGCTTAAATTTCATAGCCTATAAAAATCAATTGGATTCCTACTTGGTTCTGGTCCTCGAGGTTCTGGTACTACAGATACACTGTACCAATTTACCCAAAAAAATAACAAGACACTTTATAATTTAAAACCTTATGTTTCCATTAAACGATAATATAAAATTAAAGATTAAATAGGATACCTGTTTACTTGGTCCATTAGCCTCAACGGCATTTAACTGTTGTGGTGACGTGGGTGAAGACGGTGACTTTTTCTCTGCAACTTTCCCGCCTATACTCTCCAAATTTGATGCCTCTAATATTGATTTCTTTTCTAATGCTTTTACTGAAACAAAATTCTATTGACAAAGCAAGCTTTTTGTAAGATTTCTCCACTTACCACCTATACTTTCTAAATTCGAATCGAGTTTTTTGCCTACCATATGCGCGTCAGCCGGTAACTTGTGCAAATGCATAGAAGACCCATCTTCAAAATCATCGTCTTCATTAAACCACATTTCTTCTTCCTCTTCCATTTGCCTTTGATCCCGACGATATCGACTATTCCTCAGCATCGAAGGCACACTGTCCAAACTATTCCTCTCCTTCAATTTATCCTGATGTTGATCATATCTCAGTTTTAGGGTCATGAACGTTTGCACATACGAAATGTCTTCCAATTTGCGACCATAGTTTTCTACCACATGTGAACATAAAGTTTTAATATCTTCTAGTTTGATGAATTCGAACATTTCAATGATCGCCGAGTCCAACAGATTGTAACGGCCTTTATTTCGAATAAAAGCATCTATTACTGGAGCAAATAGGTTGCCTTTGATTATGTAACGGTTGTAGAATTCATCTTTCAGGGCTACTAGTTTACGCATAAACCTATTGAATAAATATTTTTTTTTGTATAAAATATAATATCAATAAATTCCCATAATAGATTCCAACAGTTGTTAATCAAATTTTGATGTTGGCATCTTTTAATGGAATCCCACATTTTACAAACCTTAAAGCACAGAGAACGAGAAACTTGTGCGTCGATTTCATAAGTACAAGTATCCTTCGCAACAGGTCCTTATTGAAAATGCAATTTTTGATGTGGTAAGTGTGATGTTCGACGCAAAATGATAACAATTCTAAAATGAGGCCCAATAATTGAACGTGACGGTAGTCTTCTCTTTGAGGGGTGTCATTAATTGTATTCTCTAGTAGAGGCGCTGCAGATATAAAGTCCATTTCATAAGATTGATCAAATAATAATTAGAATGTCTATTATAAAATGACACAAATTGAAATAATTATAAAAATCTGGAAGGAGAATAAAGGAATACTTACTTATCAAAATTTGTATACTGTGCCTGTAAAAACAGTTCAAAAAATCCGTCTTTTCCGATTTATTTACAGACGCCAACATATTTTCTGGATCCAAAAGAATTCGTAAGACGCCCATTAGCTGCACGGCACCCCCAAGTTCGGGATCGGAATCACAGATCATTTGTTCAATTATGATGTTGAGAAGAATCTGATCCTACAGAACAAAACAACTTATGGTCAAAAATATGCAACATTAATAGACATCGCATCATGCAATTGGACATTTCTTTTTAAATTGAGCTTCGATTGGCAATTGAAAATTAAGTTGTTCCACAATCAAGCAGTCAGTCAAATCTGGTTGAATGAAATGTGTTCAATGTTACTGTCAATTTGTTAAAACAGTGATATTACTATTTAATTCTACCATAAACTTTAAACAATACTTTACCCAGTTATTTACTTACTTCGTCTGTATTACTGGCCTGTTGCAAAGTATACTCCCTAACAACCGAAGGCGAATACTCAACGATATAAGTCAAAATATCTATTGATGCAGTCTTAGTTTTTTGATCGTCCATTGCCAAAGTGATTTCCAAAGCAGGCAAAATACCCAAAGAAGTGAGCGTTTTATAAAAAGACTCTTTCGCTTGCGGTTGTAAATTTTGCGAATAGTTGCAGAACTCTTTTAAAAACAACACCAAATCCCTACGTTTTGATTCCGGAGTGTTCAAGTCAGTTAACATTGTGAAAAGTTCGGTAAGAAACTTTTCGTCGTCTTGCACCAGCGAAACGATTTCAACTTTATTAAAAAATATAAAACTGCTTAATGTGGAAAGGAGGTTTTCTTCAAACACTGACGGAGTCGGTAACACAACATCTTGTATGTATTGAACACGATAAGTCTGATGGATTTTAGCCAAAAGTTCTGTGTTCTTTATAGGAATAGCTTCACGAAATTTCGCTTGTTTTCTTAAATATTCTCTGTGCCCTTTCGGTGTTGGAGAAGAGGGATCATACTCCAAACATCCCACAATATCAAAAATCACATCTTCACTAAACATTGTCTCAAATAGAGCATTTTTGTTCAGCAAGAATATATTTTTGAATATGTCATAAAGATGGTAAAGTCTCTCTGTACTTTCTAGATCTTCACACGTGTGAAACACTTCGATTAGTTTACGAATGTAGCCTTCACTTTCGATCGCGGCGGCAAGTTTTTCTTTCCTCATCGGCGTTGTAAGGCAGTTGCTTATCAGGTCGCTGATCTGCTCCAATCGGTTCAATTCGCAGGGTGGTAGCTCAATGGGTGGGGCGGAATCAGACATGTCATCAAATCTTTCATCTTCGGACTCTTCAACAATATCCTAGTAAACAAATAAAACCAAATTAATGAGATGCAATATTTAAGTGAAAATAAGCTAATATATTATACCGCTTCTCGAGTGTGATAGGACATTTCCTTGCGAGTGCGCATATCCGTAAAAAAAATAAAAAAAAAATAAAGCTTTCAATTAACCAAAACCATTTTACTTTTTTCAAATTAACCTTTTCTGGGTTTATTAGAGACGGCAGTGCATGCTAATAATATTCAATTAAACACAGAGAGTTTTGTATCTCATGAAAATTGTTCTATTAAAAATCAGTGCGAAGCGCTTTTGGCTTTAGGCCATCATCAATACAACTTCGTCGGGTTTTAAAAAAAGAGCGAGGATTGTCTGTTTTACACTAAAGTAATCAAAAAAGTGGGATATTATCATAATAAGGATCATGTTAAAAAACGAACTTTGACTTGAATCAAGGCTTTTCTGATAACTTGGCTGTAAGCATGTAAGTACAAAATAGATAACCATCAAGTGAATATCAAATTTTCACAAAATATAATTATGGAAGTACAAAAAAGATATCAACAATACAAATAGGTGATATTCACATTGGATGTCTTGAAAAAGGTAACTCCAAAAATCAAAAAGATCTGCCTGGACCTCGCAGAGCACCTGCTTTGTTACTTTCATCATACTATTAAATAATGACATACTACTTGAATCAGTACTATTGTTTTTGTGATTGTTAAAAATTGTTAAATTAATCTTCGGCACAACTGAGACATAATTAATTGAATCACAATCCTTATACTTTAGGTTGTTTAGTATAAAGAACAAAAATATCAAATATCACAGTCTTTTTTTTCCTTTTTCCGCTAGAGGCTTTATCTCAAAGCTATCAAGCATATCTTTGTATGAAATCTTACATGGATATGTATTATTTTCAACCACATAGAAATACCACTGAGGATATCACAAGAAACTCTTTTGGACTTTTTCAATCACATCAATATGATGTGTAGGTTCTGGCCTGTAATATTTTATATTTTATAATTTTTTTTTTGCATCACCCTGTAAGGAGATATCGTCCGATATCGCACTAAGTGGACACCCTGTATATTTACGGGAAAACCCCATTAATAGTATGCAATTAACAAAAATAAAGTTATGCAAAATATACTGCTTACTACCAATTATTCCAAAAAACTTAACAAAAACCTATCAAAAATACCCTAGTTAATTTAAAGTTAAACTATCTATCTGCTTTTTAAAGTTTGACAGTGAAATATCAATTATTTCGATGTGATCATGATTAACCGGTCTAGAATAACGATGTAAAAGCACATTTTGACCATAATTTGTTCGGTGGAATGGAATGTAAAAAGTTGCAAAATTGTTCCTTCTATTCCTACTAGATATTTCGATACTTATACATTCAACTAGGTCCGGACTATCAATGTTGCTGTTTACAAGATTATAAATTTTATTTTATTTTTTTTTCCATTGGATCTCAAGCGTTTTTTAGTTTATATACTGTTATTTTTTTTTATATTGTTTTTCTATCTTTGCTCTTTGTGTTCATGATCATTACTATTATTATCAGAACAGCATTTGAGTATAAAATCATTAATATTAGGCATATTACATAGTGTTAGTTGGGTAGTTTAAATGAATTTTGTTAATGTACAAACATAAATAATATTTATAGAGATTAGTATAGAACCTAATCAGGGATTTTATATATGTTATATTATAGGACTTGTTACCAGTCATTGTATTATGTACTGCTTAAAGTTCAACAATAAATGCTTATTAAAAAAAAAAAAAAAGTTAAACCTGCCTTATTTCTACGCTCATCCAAAGTTTTTAGACTAAGTAAATTTTGAATCTGGGTATAATTATGGTCCTGAATAGTACCTAACTCCCAACCTGAATGTACAATACCTTAAGAATTTATGCTGTATTCCTTTCATGGTACAAACATGAACTGCATGATTAGGTCACCATACCACAGCCATATATATTCAAGTTGTGATCTTACTAGGGAACAATAGACACCTCTAATAGTATCAACAGCAAAAAGACTGTAGTTCCTCAAAATAAAACCCAGCATTTTGGATGCCTTCACTGTGACATAATTCATATGCTCCACAAATGTTAAATTGTCATCAAATATAACTCGCAGGTGTTTTATTTTCGAAACATAATTTAGAGGCAGCCCATCCAAGGAGTAGGCAGTGTTGAACTTACGTTTTACTTAGAAAAAAACTTACAAAGCAGCACTTCGATACATTTAGGTTTAAGTCCGTCTGGCCCCAAGGTATTTTTGTTTGTTAATTTTGAGATCTTTTCACAAATTTCCTCTACAGAAATAAGCAAAGTCAAACGACTCCGAATAATTCTTTGGAGGGTCAGAGATAGAGAAGTTATCCAGGTTCCCTGGAAGTCCTGCCACATAAACAGTCTGAAAGTATTTCTTAAATAGATTAGCTACATCTTACCCACTAGTGGCATTCTCATTATTGTAAAACATTGTTTGTGGAAGGGCATTATTTGCTTTAAGATCACGGATATATTTCCAAAAGTACCTGGGATCAAGCTCCAAACTCAAGATCAACTTTAACTATGTAACTGCACCAACATTCCTCTCTAACTCTTTTGCACTCCGAACGTAACCCAGAAAATTTAAAGTATTCTGTGGGTGACCTAGATTTGACATAAGCGTTATGTGCATTTCTTTTTTGAAAGGTAAGATCATGCAATTCATGTGAGAACCATTTTGGGTATGTGCAGGATCTGTATTTCTTTAAGGAAACAAAACAGGCAATACCTATACCCAGTATCTCATAAAATATTTCGGTAGCCCTATTAATGTTACACCGAGATAGGCATAGCTCCCAATCCACACTAGCTGAAAAATTATTGAGTTCAAAGTAATTAGCATTTGCAAAATGTAGTAATAATAATTTCACCCTCTGTCTGAATTATCTAGTAACATCTACTTATACTTCTATACAAGGGGCAAACCACATACGAATTCTTTGCCAAAAATGTGGGAAATTTAGAGGAATTTGAAGGAACTTATCGGAATTTATGAGAATATTGGGGGAATCGAGGGGTATTTCACTGAAGTTTTTTTGTACATATATTGTGCAATACTCTGGTATTGCAGAGTATTGTGAGAGTATTGTGGACTATTGCAAAATATTGCCGAATGTTTCTAGGTATTGCAAACCATTGTGATTATTGTGAACTATTGCAAGTTATTACAGTACATACATAGGTACTACCAAATAATGTACAACCTATTTAACCTATTTCTTCAAACTTTTATATTTTTTTTTTATAATATGTATCAAAATCTCAATGATCTCAATCTAAATCAAATGATTGAGATCATCAATGTCATCTTTTTCAGGCCAGGTAAACTGGCATATGATCAATTTTAGAAACTTCACTTAGCTTCCTCGGGATCTCCAAGGGGAGCTCATGGTGTTGCACAATATATTAGTTTTTTATGCCAGCATGTGGGGATCCTGCAATATATTTTTTTAATATTATGTGCTTTGCTTTACTAGGCCAGTAAAGTATTACACTGTTTAACTAGGCAGTTCGCTCGGTCATTCTACTACTTTGCTGCCCTTAGAGTCCAATTATCATCAATATTTACTCAAAAATCCCGTTCTCATATTTTACAGTTGTTTTTTTTCCTACACTCGTAAGTTAAAGTTATAATAGAATGGAATGCCCGAATTACATCTTTGTATTTTTCCAAGTATTTATTCATGTAGTTCAGGGTGCTAACATTATTTTGTTTTTCATAATGCTTATGATTATGCTCAGTGTTGCCAACTATATGAATGGCCATTTTACCAGATTATAAAACTTGGAATACCAGAATATTACTAGATTTTTCTCAATCCTCCCAATACCAGAATATTACTAGGTCTTTTTTGCTAAACAAAAATTAAAAATTGTGCTAAAATTTTTAGATTTCAATTGTTTATTTTAAGTTTTTTTGTTTTGTTTTTTTCGTTAGGTTTTAAATAAAAATGCAATAACAACAATATCTACATAGTATGGAAAAATAAAACTTATTCAGATAAAATAACACTGTATACCTAATGTATACACAGGATACCTATAAACAAATACATTATTGTAAAAAAAAATCTATTCTGTATAACATAACATTACAGATATTGGTAAACATGTTTAGGCCCAGTTTGTTCATCTTCAGATAAGTTCCTTGGTAACTATCTGCAAGATAGGTGCACCGTTCTATAATTCGGTTGGCGGATAACTGGCCAACCAATGGGATAACATATTTCGTTTATATGTGGATCAGATTGCATACCTGACAGTTTATCAGAAGGTGAATAAACGGGCCCTAATAGGTATATTGGTAACCTTTGGCATAACTATTTAAGACTAGTCTCCATAGACGCGAAATAGCGATTTTTTTTGCGGATTTCTTTCCTATTGGTTCAAATTTCACATTCAAATGTCCAATGTCAAATTCCAACATGTAAAAATGTCACTTTAAGCGTTGATTATCGTTAAAGCTCCCTCAAAATGGGCGGTGCAAACGACCATAAATTCAAGAAAAATGGATTATTGATTGCTAATGCGAAAATACCAGAATTTTGCTGGAATGAAATGTCGAATTACCAGAAATATTACTAGATATATTTTGAAAATCTTCATTAAGAAAACCGGTGTCGATATTACCAGATCTGGTAATTATTTTACCAAGTTGGCAACACTGATTATGCTGTCATCCTGAACTACATGAATAAATACACGGAAAAAACACAGATGTAATACGGATATAAGAAAGATTAAAATCCGTATTCAAATTTATACTTATTACTTATACCCAACAAGTGATAGACGCTGATGTATAGCTTTTGGTATAAGTACAGATAGTTGAATGGGCATGTTATCAAATATAAAAAAAATATTCACTAAAACACAACAATCTTAGAGATAATCTCAAGGATTCTCATTGATAAGAGTATAAAAATTAAAGTGAAGAACTA